CTATAATCAATTGATACGTAAATTTACGTACCCCGTAATAATTGCGTGAAAAGACTATGAACATGTATAATAACCACGTAATGACATCATAATAATATCTATAATCGCATAATTGCATTGTCAAATGACATAAAGATAATTCATTCATCACAAGGTTTAAAACATTCGATCGATTAATCAATGAATAAATCTTTAAAAAGTCATTTTCGTATTTTTTTTTTTTCCTGTTCCATAATCAACTTTTTTCTATAAGATTATTTTTTGTATCATTGAGATTGATTTTTTTATAATTAATCCGCGGTTTTGATGAAAATTCATAAGATTAATATTGTAATTTTTGAAAGTTCGTATTCTTTCTTTTAGTGATTTTGGATGCTTGGTTTTTTTAAAAATCCATTCAATTTTGATGAATGTTTCTTTCGGAAGATCAGGCTAAAAAATCTTACAACAACAACAAGAAGCACAGATCCATCGGCAAAATATCAATGAACCAAGTGGTGTTAATTATAACAATATATTAGGACGTGGGAAAAAAATAAATACAAAAAACTTTGTGATTTGAGGATATCAAAACGCTCGGGTGATAGATAACTTTAAAAAAGATATCGATTAAAAGAAAGATGAAGAGAAATTCAACGAAAAGAAGCAATTTTTATTTAATTCAACTCTGAAATAAATAAAACAAGCCATCACTTGTTTTCCCAATTTCTTCAAAATCCGTGCTTTGTGCATGTTTTTTGTCGAAATCGTTTACTTTAGCGGCAATAAAAATTTATTGGAAAAAATAAACAATAATTACAATAATAAAATTGAAATTAATCAAATTCCCGACATAACGTAAATGAATGAATGAATGGATAGATAGATAATATGAAATATCGAAAAAGCCATCTTTAAAACTTATTATTGTTCGGTTCTAGTACAATAAAATGCTTCGATGTCAGATGGAACAATACCAACATTTTCCCATTCAAGTAACTTGTAATGTTCATCTTTCAACTTTTCAATAATTTCACCTTTGTATGTGATCTGTAAAGCTTTTAATTCTTTTTCCCCTTCTTCACCTGATAATAATTGTTCAATAAATTTGGCTGTTCGTTCAAAGGCTATCGTTGATGATATATTGTCGCCTGCTAAAAGCTATTTTGAAAGTATCATCATCATCACTATTATTATTACTTATTATTTTGTGCAATTAATGCGAATTTTTAAATTCAAAACTTTGTGAAATTACCTGGAAGACATGAGGCATTTCTTCATAAACTTCAAGAACAACTTTTGTAGGTGTTTTATAAGGCGAATTTTTAAATTTTTCAGCATTGTAATGGGGCAAATTGTATTTTTCTGGATTAGCAGCTTTATAAGCAAAATAGATATTCTCATCTCTTAATATTTCTCCATCACCTGTTTGCTATACAACAAAAAATTATTTGTTATTGTTGCAAGATTGATTTATCATGTAAATGTTCAATTTTTTCAAAAAAAAAGATATTTACCACTAATATTGGTGGCAAACCACCTAAACTTTCAGCATACAATGGAGAAACGTACGGAATTGCTATTCCTTCATTAGACACATAAAATTGTAAACGACCATCATGTTCAAATGATTTATGCCAAAATTTTGGTTTATTGTCAACATTTAATTGGATTTTTTCTGATAATTCTTTTGCCTTTTGTTCAAATTCTTCCCACCACACAGGAGATGTTGTTTTATGAGCAGCATCAGTTGACAGATAATCTGTTTCATCACATCTTGGATCTTTTACTGATGGCATTGTGTGAGCTAAATCAACCCATGGTGACCACACAACAGCTCCAGCTGGAAATGGCAATGATTTTTTTGAGTCACGTATAGCAAGTAATGTTGCAATTGTTAGACCACCCCCTGCACTATCACCCATAATTATAATATTTTTAGGTTCAATTGGTAGAAAATCTGCATCTTTTGGTGGATCAATAAGATAATTGTAGGCAGTTATGGAATCATGTAAAGCAGCAGGAAATTGATTTTGTGGTGCAAGTCTATAATTTATTACTTTAGAAATAAAATTATGTGTTGTTTGTTAGTCAACAAAACCTTTTTTTTTTTTTGTCAAGTCAAATTTCATTTTCATAATTATAATCAATTACCAAATAGTCTTGCATTTGTAGATTTTGCAATTTTGGAAGTATAACTGCGATAAAAACTGGGACAACCAAAAATATATCCACCACTATGCAAGTACAAAATAACCTTATCATATTTTTTCTTGTTGCTATTGTTTTCTTCTTTTTTGACATAAACCCATTCACATTCTAACCCATCCCCAAGATTAACACTTCTCCAATCATCAAGAAGCACGTGATTATAATCTTTCAAAATCTCATCAATGTAAACTTCTGATTTTTTACGAAGTGAATTTGACAATGACAGCTCATCTACAAGTACACCATCATCGACAGCTGTTTTTATATTATGCATTGCTTGAACATCTTCAATGGTTTGACTGGTTGATGATGCAAACCCATCTTTTACAATTTTGAACATCAAATAAAACTTCAAATTCCATGATGGTTGAGTTGGTCCGTGACGATAATAATCGATGGTGGATGAGCATATCATAGGCGCTTTTTGAAGTAATTTCGCAAAACTTAGCATACTTTATTTTAAAATATATTAATTAATATTGTTACAGAGGATGAACAGGCACAAAAAAATTTTTAGACAAGAATTTAACTGTGACAAGGTTTTGCTGCACTAAAATTTAGTGAAAATCGTGAAACTTGGACAATTTTTGCAGAACAATCTTTTATATAACGTTATTTTTCCCCCTTAATATTAATATTAATATTAATATTAATTTATTATTTGTTTCACACTTATTAATTGTATGAAATTTATTTATGGTTAAGTTTCAATTCTCTATCATTACTACTATATACTATTATTTTCTGATTGGATAAATTATGTCGTGTCGTGTCGTTGCATTTATGAGATTCATAAAAATCATATGTTGATCATCTGATTTTGGAAAGTATAACCACTTAATGAATATCCATGAATCTCATGAATGCAATCACTAGTACTAAGTAGGGCTTCTTATTCGAATTATTCGTTTTATTCGTTATTATTATTAATTTGATTATTCGAATTACATTGAAAGTTTATTCGAATAAATTTTAATTCGAATAAAATGAATAATTCGAATAAGGAAATTAAT